CCCAGGTGGATGGTGAATGGCCCCTCCCAGCGGAAAGAAAAGAGGAACGAAAGGGGAGAGGAGTTTGCAGGAGACAATTAGTTCAATTCATTAGGGTGAAGATCTGTTCCTGACTTCTTGCCAAGGAATTGCTGCTACAGCCTGGCGTTTGGAAGATATCGGCCTGGCAGCTCTCCAAGCCTGATAAAGGCCTGTCATTGTGAAATCTCATGAAAGACTGTCGGTCGGGACGTTACTGGCGAGGAATTCCCTTGAAACTAAATAAAAGGGGTTTGATGGGGACGAGGAATCGGCTTCGTGCTTTTGGGAAGCCTCGGTCAGAACACGGGGATCAAATCGGTGCTGTTCTAGACCATTTTTGCTCATTGCTGTTTTACCTCATTCACTTCCTCCTCTGAGCTGAATAAGAGGGAGAGGGGGACGAGAGGGATAGACGGACATGATGCATGTGAAAGTATTCAGTCTTAACGTAAGTGCAAAATGAGAGGTAAAAAAAAAGTACAGGGAGTGGACTTAGAACCATTCATTTAGTGACCATTCAAATTTACAATGGCACTGTAAAAAATCACATGTGGACTGTTTTCCACATTTACGACCATTGCAACATCCCCATGGTCACATAATCAAAATTTGGCTGCCTAGCAACTGGCATGTATTTATGACAGTTGTAGTGTCCCGGGGGGGGTGGGGTGTCGCGTGATCCCCTTTTGCGACTTCCTTGCAAGCAAAGTCGATGGGGAAGCCAGATTCGCTTAACAGCCTCGGTACTAAGTTAACAACTGCAATCATTCATGTGATAGCTGTGGCAAATACCGTATTTTTTGGAGTACAAGACACACAGAGTATAAGACGCACCATGATTTTGAAGAGGTAATTTTTTAAAAAAAAACAAAACAGTTTTTGCACTCTGCAGGCCTCCCAAATCCTCTGCACGCCTCGTTTTTTGCACAAAAAAGGAGAGGGGGCATGCAGAGGGTTTGGGAGGCTTGCAGAGTGCTTCTGAGGGCTGGAGGGCCAAAAAATGGGCCATTTTCACCCCCTACCCCAGCCCTCAGGAGCACTTTGCAAGCCTCCCAAACCCTCCGCACGTCTATTTTTGCAGGGTTTCGGGAGGCCAAAAAAGCTGTATTCGGTGTATAAGACGCACCCAAATTTTCACCCTCTTTTCTGAGGTAAAAAGGTGTGTCTTATACTCCGGAAAATACGGTAGTTCATAAAATAGGGCAAAGCTCACTTCATGGAAATTTTGAGCTCAACTGTGGTTGTTAAGTCAAGGACTAGCTGTAGTCTTCAAAGCAGGAGTCGAGAGGGACTAGAACCTTGTCCCCTTTGCGAAAGTCTCGGCTCACAGCCCGAATGGGGCAGAAAAGCATCTTCCTCACAGGCTGTCGGCTGACGCCCGATCTGCCTCCTCCAATTTGGTGGAATGACAGGTTAATCAGGCCTTGTGTTTGCCTTCATCCTGGCTTGTCAGAGTTTGGCATAAAAAAAAAAAATCACTCCGTTTGTCCCAGAGTCGAGACCTTGGCCTTCTGATGATTAGATGCCACTCTACCAATCTTGGTATTATTTACGTAATTATGATTTTAATGCAAATCTGAAAGCGGTTTAGCCGTTCTAATCCATCAAACTGAAAAGCAAAGGTCTTCCTTGTCTGAAGGAGTGAATCACTCAACAGGGTTTATAATTTCAGAACCGGAGAAGAAGTTAATTTATGGACTGCAGTGCTGAGTTGAGTAATAAGAATGCTTTGGCCATACTTTTCTGAGAAGGAGTTTATACACGTGAGGGTTCTTTATTTGAACCACTTGATAATAGGCCGCTGAGGCTTCAAAAGGACTTTTCCATTACAGCACACTGTGGCATTTATACACTTTTACCAATATCTAAATAAGGCGCTGAGTTTGTCGATCAGAAAGGTTGGCAGTTCAGCGGTTCGAATCCCTAGTTCCGCATAACGGAGAGAGCTCCCGTTACTTGTCCCAGCTTCTGCCANGGCCCCCTCTCTGCCTCCGACACAGAGCCCTCATCCAAGCCTTCCCCAGACTCCCGGACTTGCCCATCTTCCTCCCCAACCTCCTCGCTGTCTGAATCTGCGGATCACAACCCCCAGCCAAGAATTAACTTCAACTCCCAGAATCCCCCAGCATGGTCAGCTGGAGAATTCTGGGAGTTGAAGTCCGCATGTCTTAGATTTGCCAAAGCTGAGAAACAATCGTCTAGTTTGACTCTCCCGGGAGCCATCCCATTTCCAAACACTGTGGCTGGATTTATACCACACATTTACCATTTAAACCAAGGAAAATAAAAACCACAACTGTTCTGCAAGATGATATTGAGATGGCGCATCGTGGTTTCAACTCGTAACCTGGTTCACCTGGGATAGCCTGGGAATGTTAGAATCCCCTGCGTCACAAGCCACTTAACCGTTGTTTTTAACTTCAGCCTGGAGCATTTGTGTGTGCTCAGCCGTGCAGCCTATCAAAAGCAGCAGATTGGAGGGGTGTGTGTGTTTGTGTGTGAGACATTGCTAGGAAGCTTTCTCTTTTGTGTTAACAAAAGTCTTTGTTGGGCCAACATTCTCCTCTATTCTCTTTGACAGATTTGTCTGAGAAAGTTAATCTTGGTTGAACGGTTACTAAGCCAGTGGTCTCCAACCTTGGCAACTTTAAGACCTGTTGGACTTCAACTCCCAGAGTTCCTCAGCCAGAGGAACTCTGGGAGTTGAAGTCCACAGGTCTTAAAGTTGCCAAGGTTGGAGACCACTGTACTAAGCTATCACCTACGGCAGGATTTCCCAACTTTTTCAATTATTTTTTATTTCATTTAGTTTGTCAAACATGTAAAAGATAACAGGTATACGTATAAACATAAATATGAACACAGTAAATGGGGTGCAAATAAATGGGGGACAGTAGGATAGAGACGGTAGGCATGCTAGTGCGCTTATGCGCGCCCCGTTTACGGACCTCTTAGGAATGGGGTGAGGTCCACGGTAGACAGTTTAAGGTTACAGTTATGGAGGTTTGAGGATATAACAACAGAGTCAGGTAGAGCATTCCAGGCAACCCCTCTGTTGCTGAAGTCGTATTTTCTGCAATCGAGTTTGGAGTGGTTTACCTTAAGTTTGTATCTATTGTTTTCCCATGACTTGCCTTATCTTAGTCCAATGCAGGTAGTCCTCAGTTTACATTCATTCATTTAGTGGCCACATTTGTGGTGGGACTGAATGAGTGTTACTTACGACAAGTCTTCAACGTTCTGGGTGTTTACAGTATACATGTGAAATCGCATTACATTANGCAGGACAGAAGGCAGGACAAGAAACAATGGGTGGAAACTAATCAAGGAGACAAGCAACCTGGAATTAAGGAGAAACTTCCTAACAGTGTGGACAGCTGGCTTCCAGAAATCGTGGACGCTCCCTCCATCAGCTTTTAAGAAGAGACTGGACAGTCACTTATCTGAAATAGTATAGGTTCTCCTGCTTGAGCAGGGGGCTGGACTAGAAGACCTCCAAGGTCCCTTCCAACTCTGTTATTATGTACAGGTAGTGCTCAACATACAACCACAACCAAACCCAAATTTTCTGTTCTAAGCAAGAAGGTTTTTCAGTGAGTTTTGCCCCATTTTATGACCTTGCTTACTGCAGTTGTTAAGGGAATCACTGAATTCCTTAAGTTAGTAACCCGGTTGTTAAGTGAATCAGGCTTCCCTATTGACTTTGCTTGCCGGAAGGTCGCAAAAGGGGATCCCCATGTGATCCTGGGACACTGCAACCGTCATAAGCATGAACCCGTTGCCAAGCGTCCGAATGTAAATCACGTGACCATGGGGATGCTGGAATGGTCATAAGCGTGAAGAATGCCCGTAAGTCACTTTTCCCCGTGATGCTGTAACTCTGAACGGTCACTAAAGGAATTGTCGTAAGTCGAGGACTACCTGTATAGCATGGAAGGTCTCCTTCGGGATCTTTCGTGATGCCTCACCTTGTCTCTATGGCTCATCCTCCCAACGTGTTGCTAAGTGGGTGGTAAACTTCTTGTCAGGGTTTTGTTGTACCAGAGAGCAGCCCACACCCTATAATTTTGCGGGCCACGGTGGGGCATATTTCCGCTCAGGAAACAAGCTTTTTTCCAACTTCCAGGCGTAAGTGATGCTTTAATTAATGCTGAGATTTAACCGAGAGGCCACAACAATGATTATGTTGTTAGCGTTCATGGAAAGAAAAAAAAATCACCAAGATCCTTACCGTAAACATTAATTGGCAGCCTCCGAGGATGTAATCCAGGAAGGAGTAATCTCGGGTGATCTTAAAAGACGAAGGGGAAGATTTGGGAGGAGGGGAGGAAGAGAGAAAGAAAGGAGAAACAGAGCAAGTTAATGCAAAAGCATTAGGACTGCTTCACAAAATATTCATTTATTCCTCCATATTAGTTCAGTGCTTCGCAACATTGGCAATTTTAAGACGTGTGGATTTCAACTCCCAGAATTCCCCCGTGTTCTGACCGAGGCTTCCCAAGAGCCTGAAGCAAACTCCTTGTCCTGACAAAAATCCCTTGTATTAATTGACTGTGAAATCTGCTCCTTCACATCCAGCAAAGCCTTTCGAGGGAGGATTTACAGTCACAGACCTTATCCGGCTTGGAGAGCTGCTGGGCGCTATCTGCAGAACTTGGCAAGGAGTCTCAGAAAGTCACGAACCAATTAAGTGAACTAATGGTCTCCTGCAAACTCCCCTCCCCTTTCCCCCCTCTTTTATTCCATATGGGAGGAGCCATTAATTGTCCACCTATGGCCTTACTCCCAAGTTGACCCTTATTCTTTAGCTGTTCCCTTCGTCTGGCAACTCTGTGCATGCGCACACTGGGAACACGCTCCAGCTGTTCTTCTGCCCCACTGCTGTCT